ACGATCAATCATTCAGGAAGCGCTGGAAAAATGGAAGTCGACGGCATTATTGAAATGTTCAAACGTTCATAAGATTTACACGACGCTATGTACGAAAATTATATAGGCGATGGAGACAGCAAAACTTTTAAAAATTTACTCAATGAAAAGCCATACGGAGACGAATTATCAGTAAAAAAAAAGAGATGCGAAAAAATGGAGGTGTGTTTTTCTGATGATCGCTAATTCGATCGCCATTTGGAGGCATTAAAACGCATCTTTTTATGAATAAAAAAAATTTTTTTTGGAGTTTAAATGTTAAACAATTCCATGAAAAAACCGCATCTTCCTATATATAATAGATTTTCTTTTAAAAATTCGTAAAAATAGGCTATTTTTACGGCCGGCGAATGTAAAAGCCTCCTTAAGCGCTCCAAAAGCGTTTATACCTTCAAATAGATCCTACAAAATATATGCGATATCGTAGTGTTTGTCAGTCATTTATCCGTTTTAGCCAATTTTTCGTATCCAGATAATTTCCGCTATAACTGCAAGATCGTTTTCTTTAAATGTATTGCTGATTTAATCAGAAATATTTTCACTGATTCACTCGAAGGAAGTGTATAAGTAAAAAGTGTTTCAACGATGAAATATCAAGCCTCGTCTGCAATACGCGGAGTAAGTTGGAATAAGAAATAAAAATGTTCCCGCACAGCTTCCTTACCCCGGAAGTATTTCTCTCAAGTAAGAGATTTACTCCAACTCACGTCAAGCTTACTCCGCGTATTCTATAGAGGAGTCTTCATGCATACACAAATCATACACGAGAGTGTACGAGATATAATCGTAAATAACACGACGCGCGTGATGTCGTGATTGTGCGCAACGGCGTGCGCGACGGTGTACAGTTGGATGTCTTTAAGACACCTCCAGAATTCGATGAAGAATTGCTCGGGTCCTGCGACAGGTGCTCGAGCCGTCGAGAGCGACGAAGTGTCTTATTAAACGGGGTCCTCGTCGCGTAACAGATCCGCAATGCCCGCCATTGTTACGATTTCGAAGCCTTGAACGGACACGCGGCTTCGCCCACGCCCGGTTCTCGCACCGATGGTGCAACGCGACGAGAGCGAGAGCGCACTTTATCGTTAGTCCATTTGCATGCCGGCATTTGTTTAGTTTCTGCCATTTCTCACGCCCGTCAAATCTACGCAACGCAATCTCCAGCGCGCGCGGCATTAATCCGACGCTCATTAATACGACGGTTATGAGTATTCCGCAACCAGCTTGCCGGCACAGATCCCCGACGTCAGCCCACGCGCAACCTTTCCCGAGGAGATCCGCGTTGCCCCGGCGGTTCGCACGCCGAAAAAAAAGAAAGTGGAAGCCGTTCGCGCGAGAGGCTACCACTGCTGCTTCCGGTCTTGTTTTTCCCCTTTCTTCTTTTTCTTTCCCCTAATAAGCGGTCCAACGAAAATCGAGAGTGGCCCGACGTTACGTCGCCAAGTAAGGTAAAAGTACCAATACCCAGAAATATACCTAATCCTGGACACTCTCTTTGTTTTGGTCCTTAAATATTTACACGGAAAAAAAAGATTTGGTTGAATTAACCAAATATCTGGTCGAATATGAACGATCCAGAAATTCCGACTGAAGTAACCCGAATTCTGTTAACTTCTGTTAAGTTAACAAGATTTTTGGTAGACTAACCAAACATGTCTGGTTAATTAAAAATCTTGCTAACTTAAACAAAACTCGGATTACCTCAATCGGAATTTTTGGATCGTTCATATTCGACCAGATATTTGGTAAATTCAACCAAATCTTTTTTCCCCGTGTAAACTTTCAACATGAAATATATGTACGTATTTGAGTAAATATATTCTACGTTGAAAGTTTAAACATTCATATTTAAAGATTAAAGATAAAGAAATGTCCGGGAATCTTTGCCTTAATGAGGAACGAATCGGCGGTGAAATCTTCTTCTTTCGATTACGAAACCGGACGTGGAATGATAATAACAAGTCGATTGTAACTGCGCGAGCAGCGGCCGGCTTCGACGACGGCTCACATGCGATGTTCGAATTTTCAGGCGGCACTATGCAGACCGAGGAAGTCGTGCCGCGCGCACAGTCGATTGGCATAGACAGTGGTCTCACCGACGGCGCCGGTCTGCAGCATCATTTGCATCACTCAGTGCACTTACGCTGCCCGTTACCGCCTCTAATCCACATGGCCGTCAAGCAGGAGCCGCAAGAGGAGGAAGAGCGAAGTCGCGACGCGAACACGTTGAGGTGAGTCGTCGACTCCTCGAGCTTCACCACCGAGAGACACTCGCCTTGTCTACGTGTCGCGTCACGGCTCGATAAGTCGAATCAAATGCACGCTCTTTCGGTGGACTAGCAGTCGAGTGGATTGACTATCTTATTCCGCGTCATAGCCGTACCTATCGCCGGCCAGAGAGTCGACGATAGCTTACTTCGCGAGCGTCGGTGAACGAAAGTTCTCTTGTGATTTCGCCAGCTCGCAAGTGGACGCAAGCAACGCCGCGAGCTCGCTGGACGGCAAGCACGGACAGCAGGTAGCTCATCATCAAATTCAGGGCCTGGGAGAGAATTCCACGCTGACCGTCCCGGACCCCGCTAATCGAGGGCGGCCCAGGTGATTCATTTCCCTTCCTATTCTACGCAATGCGACTTGAGCGCAATCGGATAGAGTAATAAAAGCGAGACGCGCGCGAACAAGCGCGTAACGAGCGTGTCTCGCAGCGCCTTTTACATCGGCTTGCAGCGCGCGTCAACGACTCGGCCGCTCTTTTCCTCTCTCTGGTAATTTTTTTTTTCTTTTCTTACTCTTTTTCGTCGCGTCACTAACGACGTCTTTAACGTAAAACCGGCAGTGTCCAGGAAAGTGCTTCAAATGGCCGACGGCAAGAAAGACAGGCGCCGGGAAACTGGTTCGTGCCGAGCGACTCTTCTAAAGTCTTGGACGCGCGCGGAAAAAGTATTCGCGGATGTAGCGTCAGTGAGACGCGCCGCGAGCAAGAGAGTCGATCACCGTTATTATTGAATTTCATTAAACGGACCGGCCGGCTAGAGATGTGAAGAAGAGGTGGACGACGAAGAATAAGAAGAAGAAGCGCGCGAGACACGCTCTCTGCATACGCGCGAAGGCGTCGCTATAAAGCACCGTTAAGGTGTGGTTCGGAATGCAGTCGCCGAGCAAACGCGTTAATGAAGCAGCGATATCAATTGCTCTACGAGCGCATGCCACTTTGAATACCTTTCTTTCCACGAGAGGTTAATCCCTTCGCGTTCGTAAGAGGATAACGTCTACTTTGCTCTATCGCTTTGCGATACGTCGTCGCGATACCGAATAACGGAGGTCGCGTGGTCTTCTTTCTTCCTTTCTTATAAACATCGATCGTTATGACGACGTTTCCTGGCATTACCATGCGATTTCCTTAAAGCCCTTTGGCCTTTCAGTATCGCGCATTTAGAGATGAAATTTCTTCATCAATCTCTCATCATCGTCATCAATCTTCATCACTCGTCATTAATCCTACACATACCGTCAGGCTTGAAAGATCAATGAAGAATATCAAATTAAAACACTGCACTAACTATTGCTCAACCTTCCCAAGTCGAAATCTTGGCCCTATGTTAAACCTTGAATTCTACAACGCATAACAGGAGCTAAGCAGGTTTAACTCTAATGATACAATTTACTCTTACTTTGACTTTGATGTCCGAAATTTTTCTTTTCACTTTCTCTAGCGTCAAAATAAATATTGAACGGAGTAGTGAGACTAAAAATAGGATCAAAATTTCGACTCGGATGGATTAAATAGAATTGAAAGAGGCCGATATTTAAGTTTCAAAATAAATGTTGAGTGAGATAGCACAAGGTTGAAAGTAGAATCAAAATTTTGATTGACGCTACGAATCGTTTAACTTGCCATCATTTTTTCTATGTTGAAATTTTTTGTAAGTGTAAAAAAGTGTTCGGGAATTATTTAATATTCGATCAATACCTACCTGCATTTTATCTTTATTCTTGATTTTCATAAGCAACGTATTGATTATATAATCGCAGATAAATATATGCGATAAGCATATCTTAAATAATTGATATAAATAAATGACACCAACGTTTCATAATTTTTGTTATTCCTTTTTTATATCGGAATTTCGATAGGATTTGGATATTCAAATGAGCTAAGAAACAAAAAATTACGAGGTAAAGGAAGTTACTTAATATCCACATAAGCATTTAAATGATAATTCGGTACAGTAACAAGGCTACGCGGAAATAAAAAAAAAAAAAGAAACGGGCGTTGGCAGACTCAAGGCGAAGTTTCACATACCAAGAACTATTGTTAGAGAAATAAATATCAGCATTTGTAAATCAATAATTGTAAATTATTTATGGTCTTTGATTGCAAATATAATAAATTATAAATTCGTATATGAACTATTATTCGTAATAAAAAAGATTAAACGCAGGTAGACTATTGAGAAATGGTTTAATATTAAACAGTTCTGAAATAAATTCGGTAAAGGTGTAGAAAAAGGGCGCCACCTCAGATCAGCCTGATCTTGACATATGTCATAGAGGTCACCCTTCTGAGTGACCTTCTGAAGATTTTAGCCGTCGCTCATTGTTTGTTAAAAAATTATTGATGAAAGAAGTCCGAAAAATATATTACAATTTTTCGATACTGTGTCCCGTTAACGAGCAATATCGAAAGATAAGTGCGATATCGAACAACTAGCGGGAGGCTACGTCCCCCGCACACTCCCTTAAAACTAACCTAACCCAACCTATCGTTACATTAAGCGTCAGTCATTCTTTATTAAAGTGTTTAATTTTTGTGTTTTCTGTTGTCACATTAATACAAAAGTTGAACACTTTAATAAAGAATGACTGACGCTTAATATAATATAGTATATACAACATATACAACGTTTTGTAGAAAATTATGTTTATTTGAACCTAAACCTAAGTCAGTCCATAATTTTTTAACAAACAATGAGCGACGGCTAAAATCTTCAGAAGGTCACTCAGAAGGGTGACCTCTATGACATATGTCAAGATCAGGCTGATCGGAGGTGGCGCCCTTTTTCTACACCTTTACCATAAATTCTTCAAAACTTGAAGAAAACAGCGATAACAATTTTTAGCATCAATAGATAATATAATTTCATACTTCAAAATCCTTCGGAGAAAATTCTCGAGTACTTCGGAAATATTTAACCTTGAGATTGATCCTTCAAGACTGATTCTTCCAATTACGACAAAATGTGCGGGGTTAATATAGAATCAAAATTCCGACTCGGGTATCGTCTTGAACTACAACGATGTCGTGTATTCTAGCCGCGGCCGCAGGAAATCGCGATGGAAACTCAAGTTCCATCATCAGGCGCTACCGCCGGAGTACCTGGACCACTACGAGGCGTCGCTCGCTCAAGAGAACCTCAACTCATCGCCGCCACCGCGCGCCATCGAGCCAACGGCACCGAGTCCAGCGCCGACGAGCTCAACGTCCACCCCGAGTCCCATCGCCGACGTGCACGGCTGGCTGCAGCGGATCGCAGCGATGCAGCAGGAGCTCTGTCCCCAGCTTCCATCACCGCAATGCCCCACGACCTTCGGCCACCACAACCAAGCGGTCCAAGCGGGCACCAGACGGTCCGTCATCACCTCCGCGTCCTCGCAGGCCTACAACACGCCTTATTCCAACCATCACGCTCAGCAGACACAGACACCTAGCAGACCGCCGATGAAGTATTCCGATCTGCCGTACATGGGCGAGATCACTCTGGACAACAGCAAGCCCAGACGCGGACGGAAGCCAAAGAAGGCCGATATCTGTCATCTAATCTTCAAGAACTACGGCACGATACTGCCGGGCACGCCGGGTCACGAGGAGAAGAGGCTGTCACCGCGGGATAAACAAGAGCCTCGGGACCGTGTGTCGCCTCATGTGCCCTTTCAGAGGACCGACGTGCAAAACCGAATCAGCAGTCTGTTGGAGAAGCGGCTGACTCAAGAGACTAGACGGAGCTTCGCGTTGTCGGAGGGCACGAGGGAGCAGGACGAACCGCTGAATCTCTGCATCAGAGACCTCAATCAGCTGAAGATACGACTGTTGAGGAAACACGGGAACGTGTACGAGTCCGGCCAAGTGAAGAGTGAGACGTCGAGCGACGGTGAGGAGGTGGAATGCCTAAGCGCCAGCGGGTTCACGTCGGAACCGGCCAATTACTCGGACCCAGGTCACCGGCCGAGCAACTTGGTCAATCACAACAACAACGTCATCGATCCGATGATCGGCCCCAACTCCGGCTTCGTGTACTGGCCGAACGCCGGCGTGTTTATCCACCCAATGGCATTGCAGTCGCAACTGCTGTACTACCAGAAGGTAGCGCAAGGTGACAAGTGTCCCTCGCGAGCGCTGCCGGCGGATCAGCCGCCGAGAGAGCAGAAGATCGTACCCAAGTCGATATACTCGATGATGGAGACGAAGAGCGGGCCTCCAGTGCCTCCGGCTCCGTCTCAAGCGGCACCAGTGTCGGCGAACGCGCCTCCGTCGCCGAGACCAAAGAGAAACGCGCCTCTGAGCCAACATCAGGGTCAACAGCCGACCAAGCGGAAGCGCTCCGCCATATTTATACCGCCCATGCCGACTGAGAACAACAACCCGGCGACGGAAGTGAGCATATGCAAGTTCAAGTTCACCGGCGGCGCCAAGCCCAGCCTGCAGGAGAAGAAGAGCCTCTCCGTGGACTCGGGCGGTAACTTCCGCTACTACAGCGGCACCGGCGACAAGAGTATGCGGGGTTACGAGTTCTTTCCACGGGAAGCCCTGCAACAGCCGGCCGGCCAGTCCGGAGCTTCCTCGGCCGCCGGTGCTTTCCTCAGCGCCGCCGGTGAAAGGATCCAGCCACCGGCGGCGTGCCAGCGAAACGCCGGCCAGGACGACGGCCGGCGCAAGAGAAAAACACGGAAGTCCCTGCAACGCGAGAAACTCGAGCAGACCTTCAAGGAGAAAGGCTTCCTCATCCAGACGCAGCAGCTGGAATCCGCAGAGGGTGCCACCTATTGCAAGTTCCGGCAGCTCAGGAAGTTCACCAGGTACCTGTTCAGGAGCTGGAAGGACTATCTACCCGGCAACGTGCGCGAGCTGAGTGGTGGCGGCGGCGGCGGCGGCGGCGGTGGCGGCAGTGGCGGCGGCGGTGAGGGTGGTGGCGCAACGACGGATGGCGACGTGACCGACGTCGACGTCGACGGTGGCGCCGTTCTCGTTCACTCGCCTCGCGGCAACCTGCTGGATGTGCCCAACAGCTTCGTCGAGGATCATCGGACACTGCCCCTCACGTGAGGTCGCTCGACGGAGGTCATAGCGCGGTGCGACGCATTTTCTTTTAGACCCGGGTCTTACCGACGGTTCGTGAAAAACTCGAGCTTTTCGCGCGTATATATACAGCCGAGGCTCGCTCGATGTGAGTGTCAAAATCGATGTTCGAATGGTAATTCGGCGCGTGCACTTGACAGCGAACGTCGAGCGCGTTCGTTGTCAGCCGTGCGTTCTGCTGCGTCAAAAGCGTAAACTTGATCGTCAGCATCGTGCCATGACGCGCGTCACGACGACGGTGCAAACTCGACCGTAGCTTAGTGCCAAAGATGACAGACTGGAAATGTACATAAAGTCGCGACAGGGGATGGATCAACCAAAGAGTGATTTCGCGCTCGCCGTGCTGGGACCGCAGATATATATCCGAGGGGGAATTTATTGCTCGCAGAACGGGACTGTGTGTATGTGTGCGTGTGTATGTGTGTGTGTGTGTATGTGTATGTATAATGCATTTTGGGGTGGTATCATAGAGTGAGACTCGAGCGACGGTATCGTCGCTACGTCATACTTTTCTAAGCGAATCGTTGAAAAATGTCGTCTAACGAAATCTAGTCTTATTTATACTCTCTTGTTAAATCGTAAACACGTTTTTTTTTCTTGTTTTTACACGGATCTTTGTTTTTACACGGATATTTGTATCGCTGCGCTGTGTGCGCGCGCGACAGCAGCAGCAGTAAAAGCAGCAACAACAACAACAGCGGTGGCAACTCCGAAAATATTGCGCGCATAACGACGAGACGCGAGCTTATACGCGACAATCGAGATAACTGTCCCTCGGATCGAAATCATACGCGCTACTGATTTGTTTGCTTAGGCCGCACGTTGGATCAGATATTTGAACAGTTGTCGATATTGACGATGCGCGCTTGAAAACGCAACGGCGAGACAATATGTCGGGCACGGTCGTCGCGTTCGCCTGTACCGAGCTGTCCAAATGGGATTTGAAGCTGATATAACGTCAACGAGAAAGAGAGAGAAAGAGAGAGAGAGAGAGAGAGAGAGTTTGGTTCATCATACGTTACAGAGATATTATGAGATAACAGTAGACTTCACGCTGACTTTAACAATTCCACTTTCACGAATAAAAATGTAGCAGTGACTTCTGCGCGCGCGCGAGATCAGAATTCAGAATTCATCGGAACTGTACCACTTTCAATCCCGGGTCCATAGCGCGGAAAGACGCGATTCCTTCGCCGATCCGACCCGAATTTCTCGTCACGCTCACGCCGGAAGTCCGGCCAAACGGAGCGAACGCAAGTTCGGAACCGTCCTACGATCGTGCGCTTACTGTCCTTTTCCGTGCGGCGACATGTAAAATCTATTTTATACGTATGTGCTCATTGTAACGAGATAAATCCTTATAGTCTGTAATAATAAAATCAATTGTTATCGATATGACGCGCAATTCCTTCACCCGGACAATTCCTCACCCGTAGGTCCGATCTCAATACGATGCACGTCACGTGTGCTACGAGTTATTTCGCGAGTCTCCAGGGAATCCTTTGCAGACATGCAAAAATTCGAATAACGCGCAAGAGAGAGAGAGAGAGAGAGAGAGAGAGAGAGAGAGAGAGAGAGAGAGAATTCGTAATATGCATAACTCAGTTTCATCGTGGCGCGTCTACTCTCACAGCGCGTCTACTCTCACATCCTATGAAAGTAACGCCCTATTCTAATTAGTGCGCTGTGCGTCACGGAGGGTCCTGAGTCGCGCGATCATAAAAGGTTCGCGCGTATTGATCGCTTTGAAGAAAGGACGCGCCGTCGAGATGAAATTCAGCACGCGCAAGATGAATTTATGAGCGATCTCTCGGCTGCGTCCATTAACGAGTTCCACACTCGTGAATATTGCATCCGTGCTTTTTTGCCGAAATCGTGTTTCATTTAAAAAGTCACTTTACGAGGAATCTTGATTAAACCCTTTAGGGCTGCTGCTCTCGTATTGGTTTCATTGATGCGACTCTAGCGGCAGGATCTTGCGATCGCGGATCACGTCCGTGAGTTCGACGCACACGCGGAGGAAGGGACGCGCGAGCGCACGCGTCGAGATACACAAACGCACGGCGTATGTACACGGTGTGCCTCACAGTACCGCGTGGTATCTCAAAATCAACAACAACAAATCGTCAAATTGCTTAGAGGTGGATCTCTCTCTCTCTCTCTCTCTCTCTCTCTCTCTCTCTCTCTTGGAGTAGATGTCCAAGAGTGTCAACGTTGATTGCGCGTCTCCAGCGTTCAATAAGTCCCAATCTAAAGTGAATCTTTGCACTGAGAAGAAAATGTTTGGTATTTGTAACCATTGTAAATATATATCCAAGTCGAAATTTTGGTTCTATGTTAAACTTTGAATTCTACAACGTAATAGGAGCTAAGTTAGCAAAGTAGATTCTAATGATACAATTTACTTCTACCTTGACTATGATGATGTCCGGGATTTCTCTTTTCACTTTCTTTAATGTCAAAATAGGTTGTATAGACTTTAGGATATCAAAATAAATATGGAATAGAATAGTGAGGCTAGAATCAAAATTCGGACAATCACATAGAGAAATAATTACTACAAATTATGATCAAGAAAACCATTCTTTTCTTATTAAATTCCGCTATAATGTTAGAAACAATAATTTTATGTGCATGTTATTGTTATCGTTATCGTGTTAGAACAACCCAAATATATGGTTAGAGTCAAGAAATAACTATAGTTTTAGTGAGATTTAGAACTATTTCTTTCTCTCAGTGCAGCTATTCGCTTTAAAACCAAAATCGTAACGTAATTCCTGGCGTTTTCCATAGCTTCGCTATAAGACGCCGCGATTCCTAATATTGAGCGTTACTACGACTTCCACTGAGAGAAAAAAATAGTTAGAATAACTATAATCTCACTATATTTTATAGTTCGTTTTGGCCTCAAACATATATTCATCTAAACATAAAGATATAGCAGAATTAAAACAGATTTATAATCACCGTCCTATTACTCTATGTCTTATATATAGCAAAGCACGCTTTGGGAATATAGTTACATGTACCTATATTTTCCAAATATTCCAATTGTATTGACTATATAAAATAATTAATTTCTCTTACCATTCAATATTTGCAACCTTACTATATTTTTTATTTCAAATGATCATAATTCTTGATAAAAGTTTTACATGAATCAGTTATATGTTTATATTGTAAATATTACAAACATTATGCTGAAATTTACTATAAAAATAATATTTCTAACTATAATCTTTTTACTATTATAGTAAATTATAAATATTATTTTTCGCCATTATAGTTCCAAGTATCATACATTTTAAAGTTTTACATGAGTTAGTTATATGCTTATATTGTAAATATTACAAACATTATGCTGAAATTTACTATAAAAATAATATTTCTAACTATAATCTTTTTACTATTATAGTAAATTATAAATATTATCTTTTGCCATTATAGTTCCAAGTATCATACATTTTAAAGTTTTACATGAGTCAGTTATATGCTTATATTGTAAATATTACAAACATTATGCTGAAATTTACTATAAAAATAATATTTCTAACTATAATCTTTTTACTATTATAGTAAATTATAAATATTATCTTTTGCCATTATAGTTCCAAGTATCATACATTTTAAAGTTTTACATGAGTCAGTTATATGCTTATATTGTAAATATTACAAACATTATGCTGAAATTTACTATAAAAATAATATTTCTAACTATAATCTTTTTACTATTATAGTAAATTATAAATATTATCTTTTGCCATTATAGTTCCAAGTATCATACATTTTAAAGTTTTACATGAGTCAGTTATATGCTTATATTGTAAATATTACAAACATTATGCTGAAATTTACTATAAAAATAATATTCCTAACTAATCTTTTTACTATTATAGTAAATTATAAATATTATCTTTTGCCATTATAGTTCCAAGTATCATACATTTTAAAGTTTTACATGAGTCAGTTATATGCTTATATTGTAAATAGTACAAACATTATGCTGAAATTTACTATAAAAATAATATTCCTAACTAATCTTTTTACTATTATAGTAAATTATAAATATTATCTTTTGCCATTATAGTTCCAAGTATCATACATTTTAAAGTTTTACATGAGTCAGTTATATGCTTATATTGTAAATATTACAAACATTATGCTGAAATTTACTATAAAAATAATATTCCTAACTAATCTTTTTACTATTATAGTAAATTATAAATATTATCTTTTGCCATTATAGTTCCAAGTATCATACATTTTAAAGTTTTACATGAGTCAGTTATATGCTTATATTGTAAATATTACAAACATTATGCTGAAATTTACTATAAAAATAATATTCCTAACTAATCTTTTTACTATTATAGTAAATTATAAATATTATCTTTTGCCATTATAGTTCCAAGTATCATACATTTTAAAGTTTTACATGAGTCAGTTATATGCTTATATTGTAAATATTACAAACATTATGCTGAAATTTACTATAAAAATAATATTCCTAACTAATCTTTTTACTATTATAGTAAATTATAAATATTATCTTTCGCCATTATAGTTCCAAGTATCATACATTTTTCTCTCAGTGCAGCAGCGCGGGAAGCACCTTTGAAGAAATCACAGTTTTGATCTCATAGCAAGAGGCTAAAGGCCGGCCTCACCTATTGTGGACTGACGTGCTTCTTCGTGACTCGAAACTTCAAGATACAAGCTGGGAGTTAGCCGGACACCCTGTATATACGAGCCACCCAGACACATACGTTTGCTCGAGTCGCGACGTGCGTACACAGCTCCACCAGTTAGTTTCTCCGGAGTGCGTACAGCCACCCATTCATGCATACGGCCATTCATATGTCGGGCCCGGCTTACCTTGAAGGCTTTTTATCATCGGTCGTTGTGTCCGTGTGCGTTACACACGCGCACGTGCGCAACGCGTACGTAGGCGCGCTCGCGCGCGAAAAAGGAAAATTATTCGCGTCCTTCTCGGAGACGATCGTCACGCGTGGCTGGTCAATTAAAAATTCACCGTCGGAGAAATTGTTTGTCTTTCAGCCTTCCCCTCCTTTCCTGTCTCTTTCACTCTCTTTCTCTCTCTCTCTATATGCATGTCTCTCTAAAAAAATACTTCCTCGTTGACATTTGACGAGTCAGGTGCGAAAGTTGTCGCTATGTTTTCGTTGCCGTCTGGTCGCTCGTGAAATATACCTCCCGCGTCTTATGTTATAAAATAAAAAAAGACAAAGAGCATATATTCCTCGAGAAAGATCCGCCGAGTTCTCCTATCGCTTCTTGATCCCCGCGAACGTTTTACAATCGTCACCGGGGAAGAAAACGGGGAGCGAGGGGCGATCGCCGTTGTCCTCGTCGTCATCGCCGTTCCTCGCTCGTCGTTTCGAGGAGCCGGGCACAATGGTTGCAGGTTTCCTAATACGGGCACGGCGGCACGATGCGCGCCGAAAAAAAGAGGAATTTTGGCAAGCACGAGGGAGGCCTGGGAAGGAGCCGATGCGCGTTAGACGTGTCCGGTGTAAAAATTTAATAACCGCACACGACGGGAGCCGCACGTCCGCGGAAGCGTTCTCTTCCTCGTCGGCTGGTAGGGGGGAAAAGAGCGGGACATCTACTGCTTGTTCAGGCTCGTGTAGGCACTGCAACCTGTCCGCATTTATGAAAATCTAGAGAAACCGTTGCGGCCGAGAGTTAACGTCCCGTCTGTACTGCGCGTTTCGCTTCGCGAGACTTCGTCTTCTTCTTCTTGAAAGCGCGAGGAGAACGGAAACGCGAACAGGACGTCGCGAGACTTTGTTTTCAGGATTCTTCGTGAAAGCGCGAGAAACACGATCGTCGCGATCGTAAAATCGGCTAAATTGTCTCGAAGAGGAGGTTTTTTGCAACTCACTCTCGATCCCGGATACTCTCGACTCGGTGAATTTCATCTGGCTGTCCGTTCGTGCGTGTCTAATGTCGCCGCAATTTTAATCGAGAGGTTCGCATCGAATTTCCGATTTTTTTTTGCCCCTGCTCGTACCTACGCGTTATCTCCTCTACACGCGACTGCAAGTTTCCTAATATAGGCTCGGCATATGCTTCGATGAAAAAAGACGATGTTGTTAACCGAGCGCCCGGCAAACTGGTTGCCATCTCGAATCCGGAAAAGACAGCCGGACTACGTGTGTAATGCTAAAATCGCAAATCGGACACCGACAGTTTGCGGAGCAGACGATAATAATTGTCACAACGAGCAGACCAAACCCATTCGCGTGCTAGAACCTTCCTTTGTCAATCGATCATTTTAATCTAATAACCGAAACATCTCGAATCATACTAAAGAAATGGAATAATAGCAGTGAAGTAGTAGAGTCAATACATTATATTTAATACTGCAAA